ATTAATTTAAAGTGGTTGTTGAAGAGATAACATGTGACAATGATCTACCATTCGATGTGAAAAACAGGGGCCATTTTTTTAAACAGACTTATTATTGAAACCTATCTCTGTACTTTGTTGAGCGCAATTAGGCATTTATTATATGTTGTCGAAACATAACGCTAGCAACGCGACAACTGTTCAAGAACATATAATGCGATACACTAAAATCATTCGACATTGAATCAGTAACTGGCAACCAAGGTACTTGTTGTGGCACTATTTATATGTAAATTGGGTGTATACAACTCAGAGCCTATCTGAGTAAAATCATCAATACGGCTACAAAGTTAATATATTTAAATAAAAACACATGTTTGTGAGGTCAATATCACGATTTGTTGCCTGCCACCTGGCTGTTGTTTATGACCATATTATTAATATTGCCCTCGCCAATATTATTGTCAAGAGCAACAGCCCGATGGCAGACAACAAATCGTGTTATTGCCCGAATGAACATATATGTTATTTATTTCATCACATCGAACAGAACCTAGCACAATTACACCTAACACACATCTCTCATACCCGCTCTCCCATACAATAAAAACACTATATTTATGCAATATTTTATATTTATTTATGTATTATAACAAGTCACTCAATAGCATACATACATTGTTTACTGAAAAATACACAGTAATTGTTACTTTCATTCATTCATGGTTACGTATTTTAGTATCCATGTTTTAGTAGTGTGAATTTCAATTTGTTAGGTATAACATCATTGAAATGAATTGAGTTTTTTTACCACTCGCCGAATACAATTATCAGAGTGCCGTAGAAGTGACTGCAATGACTTTTTAACGAACGTACTACACCTTCTATTCACACGTCACTCAGCCTAGGGCGTTCTCGGTGAATATGAAAAAAATGCTCGCAGACTGGAACGGCGCTGCCATAATCTTCATTTTAAATTATTGAAAAAAGAATAGACGCCAAGCAAAAAAGGATGTCTGTGTGATATGGAACGCATGTCTGGGCCTCATAACAGAGACAGCTCAACAACCGCTGAATACCACGGAATACACTACACAGTACAGGTCAACACAAAGGTCAATTGTGTTTGAAGTAAAGACTGGCAACTTAGGTTAAAGTCCTCAATACCTTTGATATGCAGATTGCACGACCACAATGCAGACACTGTGTGCGTTGGTGTGCTAGAGGTCTGAATACA